TGGGGACTGCTCTGGGAGGCTACTCTATTGGCTAACAATTACTAGTGGAGGAATTTTCACTTCTCACTCTTCATTTCAGCTGATCTAAAGAATTTGGTGTTTCAAAACTGCCATTTGTATTACCAAACTTCAAACCCACTGTCTTATCCAACTTACATCTGAGACACAGGATGAGTTAGTTGGAGTGGGGCATAGAGGGGGTGGACAGGAGAGATCCTAGATGTCAGGGTCAAGAGATGCATTGTTCTTATAGCTTAATTAAGGGCTATATCCTGAAAGAATTCATATCTATAGAGCATGAAAGTCCACTATGTTGACAGCCCAGTTGGAAATAAAAGATGTTTTACTTTAGAAGTGCTGCATAGTGGCAGCCCCTATAACTTTCTAAGTTATAGCTCTGCATGAATATTTTCTTCCTTGATTCCTGTTAAAAATAAGTTCCATGAAGACAAAAATATTGTCCTCATTATTAATAAAAATTAGCTAAAGCATCTCTAGGCAATTGTGTTTTGGTACATTATATCAATATGTAAAAGTTACTAAGCGAAGGATTCCTGACAATAAGTCTCATTGGGAAAAATCTTATTATAGAATTGAATAAATTGTTATTTGGGGGTCAAGAACATGAAATATTATTTTTCAGGCACTATTTTAAGGAATTACTAACCATGTGACCATCAAGATAAGTGAGCATAAGGAACACAGATCTAAATCTAGCAAAGCAAGCCTTTTTACAGGGCTTAAATGACATTCACTTTACTTGGAATCATTTTGGTTCATTCCTTTTTCTTTCTTTTTTTGCATGCCTAACCGTTCATTCACTGTGTGTGTGCTGCTATGCGTCCTCATGCATGAGCTATGTCAACAACAATCTACTGATAAGAGAACATGAAAATGTACAAGTTGTAGGAGACTAACATGGTTTTAACTTATCTCAGTACATATTTTTCTGAAATGTTCCCTGTGATTAAGTTGTGAACAAATGAACATGCCACATGTCAACAAACTGAGCAAACGTGGATTGTTAGTGACTTAGTGGTGGAGGGAGGGCTAGAGAAAGGCCAGCTGTGTTGGTCCGCCAATCTCCTGTGTCCCACTTCGGTTACCAAAATACAACCACTGGTAGGGAGGGCTCATCTAGAACCAGAGTGAGGAATAAGGATTGAGAATAAAACTCAGCAAGGATGATGAATGAGTTTCAGCTCATTGCTGGGATTAGCTGAAGAATGAATAGGAAACAGTGGATGAAGGAACAAGCTATTCCAGGGACCTTTTGAAGCCCTTGGACCTCACGTCCCTTATAGCTAAGGAAGGATAAAATGGATGTAGGCCAGTGCTAATCATTTGAGAAATTTTGCTAAAGGAAGATTTTGATTCAGTCGATATGAAGTGGATCTGAAATTCTGCATTTCTGTAAGCTCTCAGGCTGCTGCCCCATGGATCACATTTTGAGTAGCAATGATCTACACCAGAGCTGTCCAACAGAATTTCTGCAGTGATGGAAATTTTCTACATCTGTACTGTCCACTGTGGTTACTGAACACTTGAAATGTAGTTGGTACAACTGAGAAATGGAATTTCTAATTAAGTTAATTTTTTTAAAGAGTAGGGGTCTTGCTCTGCTGCCCAGGCTGGAGGGCAGTAGCATGACTATGGCTCACTGCAGCCTTTAACTCCTGGGCTCAAGCAATCCTCCCACCTCAGCCTTCAGAGTAGCTGGGACTACAGGCACATGCCACCATGCCTAACTAGTTAAAAAAAATTTTTTTTCAGAGACAGGGTCTCACTATGTTGCCCAGTCTGGTCTCAAACTCCTGGCCTCAAGCCATCCTCCCGCCTCAGCCTCCCGAGTCACCGGGATTACAGGTGTGTGCCACTGTGCCTGGCTTAATGAAATTCCATTTAAATTTAGATAGCCACATGTAGCTAAAATATCAGATAGGATAGATCTAGATATTCATGGGTCATTTCTTGTCAGTAAGAACAATATACATCACAGCCCCAAATGATCTAATCCATCAATTCATTTAGATTATCTAGCAAGTATCCTTTTATATAATGCCAGCTGTAAAATTAGTGTCTTTAAATTGTTGTCTTCCTAACACTTAAATGACCCACCATGTATGCTTAAGCGAGAAATGAAAGTGGTCATTTTGTAGTGGATTAATTTATGGGGAAAGGAAAGCAGAAAGCAGTGAGAATTTCAGCAACCATGACTGCATTGGGCATTGCGAAAATGAAGAGCCAGAATGTAGGAAAGAAACTCAGAAAGGGAGGTGAAGAGACCCTAAAGAGAAATACTGCATACTCAGGAATTTTATTTAGGTCTGATTCTGTCCCTTTACCTCCTTTAAAAGCAAGTTCTTCCTCAGGAAACGGAACTGAAAGAAAATATATTCTGGCTGATGCCCTCCCCTTCCCTGACCTCCCACCAGCCCCCATCCTCCAGGTGAAGGAGAGCCTATCCGGGAGAAGAGCTGACAATTCCAGCCATTACAGTCACTGCAGTCAGGTGCAGGTGGGAACTTCTGACCCCAGCTCATGCATGGATCAAAGCACAGAGGCCCCATCCCACTCCCCAAAGCTGTGATCCGATCCCGTGGAGAAGCTCTTCCCTACTTTTTTTTTTTTTTGGTAATCGCATCTACTACAAGAAGAAGAATTATTTATGATACTGACAGGGGCCTAAGGAGGCTCTGAAGACCCCCTCCTGGAAACAGGTGTCAGTGAAGTCATTTGGGCCCTGCACAGCCATGCAGAGACAAAGCATATAGAGAAAATTGCTCTCATTTAACAAAAAGTATATCCAAATTGTCATTTTAGAGAATTTCCCCCATCCAAAGCCATTTGCAGGAAAATTCTGGCTAATTAAGGATTCCATTAAGAGACTCACGCTCTACCAACTGAGCCAGCCAGAAATGTACTGTAGGATTCCATTAACTGAGACTTTACAGCATACACAAAAGATGTTACCTGCGAGTGAAAAGACCACCAAACAAACCAACAAAATTCAATCCTTCACATCACACTCTTAAATTTGGGACACGTCATAAGCTAGACTCTTTTCTATTAGCAAAGGGGGATGAGGGGTGAAAATCAATATAGCTATTTATATTAATACATTCTTTATGCTAGAGTTCTTCCCCTTCTTGCCCTCACTTTTCCTTTTTTAGTAGAGATGGACAGAGATCTGTAATGTCAGAGAGTAGAGATGGACAGAGATCTGTAATGTCAGAGAGTTCTGGGAACCTGGTACCTCTGTTAGGTTGCACAGGAAAGTGTTTACAGAACAGCACTTAGGTGGGACTATCAGAGGGGCTGAAAAAGGAGACCTCTGACTTCATAAGTGCAGATATAATTAGAAAAACTGAGTAATTCATGACTTTTTTTTTTTTTTTTGAGATAGAGTCTTGCTCTGTCACCCAGGCTAGAGAGCAGTGGTGTGATCTCAGCTCACTGCAATCTCCATCTCCTGGGTTCAAGCAATTCTCCTGCCTCAGCCTCCTGAGTAGCTGGGATTACAGGTGCCCGCCACCACAGCCGGCTATTTTTTGTATTTTCAGTAGAGACAGGGTTTCACTATACTGGTCAGACTGGTCTTGCACTCCTGACCTCAGATTATCTACCCACCTCAGCCTCCCAAAGTGGTGGGATTACATGCGTGAGCCACAGTGCCCAGTCTCATGACTCTTTTTAAACTACCTGATATAACTATCTTTGGAAAATTTCCATTTATTTACAACTTAGGTAAAATATATAGTCAGACATACTTGGTCGGGAATCCCTCAGGGTCATTTATTTTAAAGACATCAAAATTTTGTGATTTTTACTAGTAGTTAAATACCCAAGTTATAAACAAGAGTAAAGTGTCAAACAGTTAAACTCCTTTGATATAATTAAATAATATGCCTGACAATAGTTCATTTTAAATGCTCGCCTATTAGTATTTCTCTTTAAACACTGGGAAATAATTGTCTAGAAAATTATCAGTGATGCTATATCACAAGATTATATGTATGTAGGTATATATATACATATAAATGTATATGTGTATGTATATATACACACACATATATGTGTATATGTATATATCTGTGTGTGCATATATCTATTAAGAACCTAGCAGGCTGCTTCATAAAAATTATCACCACTGAGTCAGTACCCTGTTTATTTCTCTTATATACAATATTTTAAAATATTATAATTAATATTTTGGTATATAATGGCTAAAGAAAGCTTATTTAAGGATATTTTTGTGACTTTTTGATATGTATGCCTTTGGCTTTCAAAGATTTGACCAGTGTAATGTTGACTTCTAATAAGCTACACTGAAGTAGAGTGGTTTAGAAAAAGGAAAATAATATCCACCTGACAGGAATTAAGAATTAAGTGAGATAATAATAACAATAACATAAAGCCCTTAAGAAAAAATTTAAATGTCTTCTGTTGGAAAGTTTGTGTCAGAAGCCACTACAGAGAGTGGGTGAGTCTGGGTAATCTTTCAGTATATAAATCTCGGTTGGGACCTTAGGGAATTCCTGGATATCAACACTTCACTGTATCATAAATTCAAACAGAATATTAAATAATTATTAAATTGAAATTAAAAATTAGAAACGAAATGTGGACATTTTAGTTTGGAAAGCTGTAACAAGTTTTGTCAGGTAAGGGAGCAGGTAATTTTATGAAAATACCCAGAGAATTTTGTTAACGTGCACGCCTACTGCTTATGATAGATTGAAATAAAATTGACTTGCATACATGTATATCATTTGTTGATTATGGCACAGACACACATTCACAAAGTCTTAGGTACAGAATATTTACGCAAAATTCCACATTAAAAAACAGAAAAGTGCAGTGCCCTTAGCCAACAAAAATATACTTTAGTAATAAATTAAATCCCATTAACATTAAAATTGACATGAAAGCTATTTAAAGTGTTACAATATTAGATGTGACATGCAAGAAAAAGAAAGACATTTCAGGCAGGAATATCGTGCATTAAGATTTGCATTCATTCATAGTATTGGGCAGGTTTTCAACATATTCTTGACCACTAAGCACTAGGAGTTGGAGGTGATACCAATCTACATTCAAAACACAACTTAATTTATATTTTAGTCTCCTAACCTACTGATTTTAAGAAAATGGCCAATGCCTCCAATAATGAAACCCAGGAAGTTTTAACCACATATTATTATGCAGTTGCACAGTAGGAACATTCCATCAGACCAGATCTATGGAAAGTAAACATTTTGCAATTCCACCTTTTAGACAATGCAATCGTCTCAGATTCCTCCTACCTTATTACTGTTGTCAATATATTTGAACATGTCAGGTTTGCACAAAAAGAAAATGGCTTTGTGGAATGTATTTTTTGGTACAAAAATATTCTCTAATACCTCAAATCAAAATTTCACCCACAGCAAAATATCAAGCCATAGAGGTGCTTCAGTGGTGCTTACTTATCTACGCAGAAAACTACAAGAACCACCACTTGCTTCCAAGGACTTTGTATTAAGTGGCAATAACTTCTCTTCCAAAGAATAGCACTAATATGATTACACCTCTGACTGTGGAGTGCTCCTTCCAAGCTCTTTAATTCCCTGGAGAATTCGCTTCACATGGCCCACCTTCGGTATCCCCAGGTCCTAAAATAAAAGAACAGAAAAAGGTAGAAATAATTAAAAATGAAAGAAAAAAGGCAGAAAGAAAATTTTAAAAATGAAAGAAAAGAAAAAAGTGTATTGATAATAGAAAACTGGGGATTGAATATTTAACCAGTAAGAAACATAATTAGCATTCAGTTCATTCATTTTAGTTTATATTCAGTGATTCCGGAAGTGAAAGCTAGAAAAATGTTTATAAAACAAAAATAACCTGACACTGAAGAATTCCCAACTGGTACAAAAAAAAAAAATCACATTCTACATAAACTCTTAACTATGACATTCTCGTAATTATACACAGTGGCTTTTGACTTCAAGAGTCAAAACCTAAATTTTCTTTCTTCTTTTCTTTCCCTTCTTCTCTCTCTCTCTCTCTCTCCTCTCTCTCTCTCTCTTTCTTTCTTTTCCCCCCCTCTCTTCTCTCTGTCCTCTTAGAAAGGCTCTTTTGGGATCTCTGAGAAAAAAATGATGTGGGACAGTAGGGCACCCACAATTAGTTCTAAGACAACATTTCTTGCGCTAAAATATTAAATTTAAAAGTGAGACCTAATTCTAGAGAAAGATACCAGTACCTGCTAAATAAATTTGGACTCTATATGCATTTGCAGTTGCATTACAAGTCTTTGTTTGAGAGGAATATTTAATTTAAATAGTCTTTATACTTTGTAATGTATGTGTGTAAAAAATCACTTAAACATAACTATCTGTTAGTTGATGCTTTCCCTCAAAACACTATTGGCTCTTTTCTCTCAAAATTATTATTCTTGTTTCTTAAAGAAACTTCTTCCTATAAGTGCCAAGAATTCAATATTTAACTTTCAGAAATAGATGATGACTGCAGAGTGTGCACAGCAAGTACTTTGCAAATATTTGTTGCAGAAATAAGTTAAAACTAACCAAGGGTGAATAACCGCTAGTTATTCACTCTGAAAAACTAAAGCAAAGAGTTACAGCCTCCAAATCCTAGTTTCTTTAAGTGAAAGGGCATCGTCAGTTTGCTAATATGTGAAGACAACTTCTTCAAAAAAAAATTGAACTATTTGAAAATTATTAAAAAGATGACTCCCAAAATGGCCTAAAAAAAACCAGGGTTATAAAATAATGTAACTTGTCTGAGAAGATAAAGATGCAACTATCCACCCTGTTTGGTAATTTATTTATTTTTCAACTTTTAAATGAAATAGATCAAACTGGTGTAAGTCTTCTGTCCTTGTCTCTCTCTTTCTCCCCTTTACCCTTTAAGAACTCTTGGAGTTCTTCAGCAGTAATGAATCCTTCTGGAAAATACTGTTTTCATAGCCAATGCTATTGTCAAACGAGATAATTTCAAGATATTTCATAGATATTTAACTGACTCAGAAAAATATCTTCTCCTATGACACAGGGCATCCAAAATTAGTCCTAAGGCTACTATACATTTACTGAATATCTGCTAAAGTATCAAGCTTAAAAGCAAGGCCATACAAATGCTTGCTACCTAAATTTGAAATATACATGCATTTACAGTCACATTTAGATTTTTTGAGTGGAATATTTAAATATCTTTACCTCTTTGTGAAAACATAGGTATCCAATTACAAAATATATTTAAATATTAAATATTTTATTTTAGGCCATAAATACGTTGTATTCTCAAGACTAAATCTTCTTTGGGGGAGGTAGAATCTACTTAGAATTACTATTTGGGTATACAATGAGAAGAATGTTTTCCATAGAGTTACAATAACTTACTAGCTATACTTTTTTAAAAATTAATTTTATTTAATTTTAAGTTCCAGGATACATGTGCAGGAGGTGCAGGTTTGTTACATAGGTAAAAGTGTGCCATGCTGGTTTGCGGCACCTACCATCCCTTCACCTAGGTAGTAAGCCCCACGTGCATTAGCTATTTATCCTGATGTTCTCCCCTCCCTCTGTGCTCCCAATAGGCCCCAGTGTATGTTGTTCCCCTCCCTGTATCTATGTGTTCTCATTGTTGAGCTCCCACTTATAAGAACATGTGGT